GGGTTCGTTGCTTGTGATCTTATTGTGACCAAAAAACCGACGTTAATATTCCAAATATTTTTGATAGATTTCATCCCTGGACTTCAGACTTCCAAATTTCGATGAGGCAAAAATACTGAAGATTCAGATTAAATTTTGAGATCGTAAAAGTGCGATTAAGTGCCGTGTGCAAGCAGAGCTTTCTTTCCCACATGCTTCTTACCTTGTCACGTTCGCATGACAGACATTCACCTCGCTTCGCTTGTTTACTTGCCTTGTTTACGTTAGCACGTATTGCGTGCCTATTGCACATTTGCGTCAAAACAAGCCGTTTCCATTACTCTATTTGGGCCACGCCCAAATAATAAGTATTATATTTAGTCTTTATACATCCTGCCAACGTGCGCATTGTAAGTGAAATAATTAGGCAAAAGAAATGCAAATAAGTCGAGTCTAATCAATATTGCTCAATAGCATAAAGCTTTGTAGGAATCTGGCCAATGGAGCATTTTTATTGGTTTAACCGCCTTCAAATGTCGTGACAAAAATTTTCAAAATTTTCTCTGCGAGATTGCCCAAAACTTTTATTGCATTTATTTGAGGAAGACACCTTGCTCTTTTTATTGGTAGGAAAGTTATGGCTAAAGCCGTATACCAAGTAGTGATTTTTGTGTCTGAAATTTGCCAATTTTATCGGTAATTTTATCGAAAATCGGTAAAATAAGTAAAATTATTAAAAATCCGAAAAATCCAGATTTGCTGTCGAATAGGAAAATTTCACATCACAACTATTGGTTAAATTGTGTTCTTTCTTTCTAGATTTTCAGAGGCAGAGTTTTTTAACTTCTTTAATTTTTAAACGATTTTTAAGTAATATATGGTCTCGAGCCTGTGAAAATTGCCTCCGAACCGACTCGGTCGCCGTACGCGTAAAATAAAAATCCAATCGAACTAAAAGTTATTTTTCTAGAAATAGTTTACCTAGACCTATATTCTGACAAAGTTTGGGGGTTTTCGATTTTTTCATTTTGCACACCCCCAGGCGATATCTACGGACGGCCGCTCTTTTGGTAACACTGGCGTGACGGGACGTGTCACGCTATTTTTTACCATGCGAATGTCGCGATATTTCGCAAAAATAGGGTTGAACTCAGTGTCTTGCAGGCTACTTAAAATCGTTTGCCCAGAGATTTGTTTCGATTCTCTGATAGATTGGGGCCTAGTAATGCCGTAGAAAGTCAATTTGCGAAACTTAGAGTTATAGCGCGTGGTTAAAATTTGCATTATTTTATCCCCATGATTTTAAACGGTAAAAATTGTCAATAGGACCTATTTTTAACAATACCTTATTGGCTACAAAAATATTCCAGCTTTCACAAATGTATCGTTTTATAGGGAAGAAAGGGTCATAAAAACTATTCGTATTCAAAAAGACTGCCAAATCGTTGTAGTTTGACGTACGAGCCAATGAAGTTTGTGTAAAATTTCGCTTTACCGGAAGTGGATTTTGAGCCCCGAACGGGCAAAATTTTCGAATTTTAACAAAAGAACACGTTATTTGGGAAAACTAACTACAACATGTTTCATTACTCATTTTAATGAGTAATGAAAAGGTTAAGGGTTAATGGTTATCGATGAGCCAAAAATGAGCGAAATCAAATTTTGAACTTGTGCCGACCGTGGGTCGATATTTACGGAAAGCCACTCCTAAAAATTCTCTGAAAATCTTTATAACAGTCGGCGTTTTCTTTTCTTTCTCCCTTCATTTTTGTTTGGAAAATACTTCTCATATTTTTCGCATACCACAAGAAACCATTCGGCGCACATAAATATTCCGAGCAAACCTTGTTCATTGAGAAAAGTTTGAAATGACCGGAATCATGACGTCGCTGCTCGATACGACCACTCGGGTTACATACGAAAAAACGCCATTAGGTCCCCGGATTCAGTGATCATAACTAGGAGTGCTTTAGTTTCCCTGAAACACTACCCCGCCCATAATGATAACTAGGAATAGTTATATATTTATCTATTTTTGAGAAATATTAAAACGTTTTTTTCAAAAATCGTGCTTTGCTTGTAGACAACGTCTTAAGGTTAGCAAATGGAAATCGAACGTCAGAGGGAAGAGTGGAAATATTTTACAATGGTACATGGGGAACTGTGTGTGACGATAGCTGGGATCTGAGGGACGCAGTTGTTGTATGTCGCCAACTGGGATATCCTTCAGCATTAACTGCCATAGGAAGAGCCTCGTTCGGTCCCGGAATTGGAACAATATGGCTAGACAATGTTGAATGCCGGGGGAGCGAAAGTTCCATTGACATGTGTCAACATAATGGCTGGGGAGACCACAACTGTGTCCATGGTGAAGATGCATCAGTCGTTTGTGAAGGTTAGACAATAGGGAACTTAAGCACCAGACGTTCTTGGTACCACGGACGCCAACCGGAAGTATTTTTGCAGCATGACAGCCACTGCGCACGTCAAGACGTTCTTGAGCTGCGGTCACGGACTTCAAAACGCGAGTTGGTTCAAATTCTAGGTTCTTCGAAGAGTATTCGTCAGACAAATCACTGTCGGTTAATTACTATGTGATAAAAATAATGAATGATATTCGGTTGCTTGTATTGCGTTGTTATTGTGTAATAGGCCTGGTTTTCAATACATTTTACTGCAAAAGAGCTGTCTCACTAAGATGCGCTAAAATTGAATCACAATTTGAAAAAGAGCTGCAAAATTATTTCCCCCTACTAGCTGTACTACTCTTGGGAGACTGTTCTTCACACTTTGTTTAAATACTTCACGTTCTGCTGGATTATATATCGCTTTACTTACGTTATTAAAACATCTTTTGCGAGTTGATTTCTTCAGTTATCATCCCTGAGAAGCTCATTGGTTCGCGAGGTTTACCGGCGAAATAATTGCGAAGTTTACAAGAAGAACATGAAATCTCTTCGGGCTAAGACCAGAAGAAGGGAATTCAAAGTCTCTTCCTAACTGGTCCGAAAAGACTGCCCCCTCCCCCACCCCGCCCCCATTTGTCCTTCAGATTTTAGAAGTTGCCTGTAATCATTTCGTCTGTGGATATTCTGACAAGGGATCTTCAGTAATCTGCGTGCAGACGTCTCCTATTTCCTTTGCTTAAGATTTCCGTGGTTTCCTTATATTAAATGCCTTTTTTTCCTTTAGCGATGTTAATCCTTGGTCACTGGCTGCTAGATGGAAAGGATCAAAATATAACGTGAGTCACGTAAATTGCTTTTTTAAAATATAGCAGGCAGGGAGCTTGTAAATAGGAGCAAATGGAAATCAAAGGAGGCTGACTTCGTTCAAGCGAAAACCATTCTTCCTTGTCATTCTTACATAAAATTTCTTAGTTTACTGGCTTAAGTCCTCCGCCTAATTTTTCATAACCAGCTGGCATTTGTCTGTGTTCAGGACATAAATATACTGTTAATGATATGGCATTTATGTTCCAGATTATGCAGATCGCGAAGGCTGTTATTCACCTCGGCCTTCGGCTTTGGTGGGTAACATTCCCCTCGATTTGCATAACTCTTCACATCATACGAAAGGCGAATTCAATGATTGTTAAATATACAGCCAGCCAAATGCGGTATATATCTTCTAATTAATTTGTCGTTTAATGTAGCTTTAGCAAATCACTAGATTTTGTCGAAGGAAGGTGTTCAGGCAGCACGGCTCCTCGTTTTGTTCAACATTCATTCGCTACTGCCCCAGCAGTTCATATTAACGGCAGGAGTTTTACCATTTGCTGCTGGATAAAACAAATGCGGTTATTATCTGGAACACAGACAATCTATAACGATTGGCATTATCCATGGCAGTTTACGCTTATCATCTTTGGTGATCGACTGCTATTTCAGCGCCATAGCCACGGCTCTGAAGAATGGTGGTCCGTTCGGAGTACTAAACTTTCATTTAATACCTGGACGCACATTGCAGTCACCTGGAACCACGTGACAGGTGAGGTCAACCTTTACGCTAACGGCATCATAGTGGGTACCAGATGGTTTAATCCTGGGACTAAGTTTTACACACTTACGGGTAACCCTTACAAGATCGCCAACGACGGTCACTGGAATGATCACCAGTTCTACGGATCAGTGATGGATTTGTATGTTTTTGGCACCGCACTGTCCCGTGATGAAATTGCCAAAGTAAGAGGTAGGTAAGGAAGTTCAAGTCTTGAAAGACATTTGAAACTCTCAAAGAGCTTTGAATTCTATCTCTTTTTGCCCAAAAACATTTGATTTCAATTACGAAAGTGATTAAATCACAGGTAACCCAGGCTCACAGTTTGTGTCACGAACGGGTTTCATAACATGAGTAAATATAGATAACACATGGGGCGACGTTAGTTTAGGTCTGGAAATTTGCTAGAAAATGGAAATAAAAATCGATGAAACTTACCACGTGGCGAGTTGTTGTCCTTATGGGAGCTGTGTCACGAAATTCAGCCAAATTAGGAAATTACAAAATGCCCCTTAAGTTAAGAGAAACATGAAAATAACCGCTTAAAACTTTAAAGGAAGGTTAAAATAACTTAACAGAAACAACAGATGT